TAATATAACTAAAACTCAAAGCCAGATCATTCCAGATCAATTATTCCCAAAGAAATAGCATATGACTGAGGTTCAATATTTCCTATTACTAATAAACAAGAATATTTGTAGCTCAGAGTTGAAATGGGGGGTCCTTGATGCTCTCTGAGCTTGGTTGTTTTCTTGCAGATGTTTCTTTACCCAAACTAGGTAACCTCATCAGTGCTAGTCAGTCCCATTACTGCATATGAAAAAATAGTATATTTTAAGAAAGTTAATTCGTATGTGTTCATCAATGTTCCTCTATCACATACACCATGGTTTAAAACTATTACGCTCACACTGCTTCCAGTGATTATTGAAGGGGAAGAAATCATGTCATTGTAAATAGATTGCATGTGAATTATTCAGTTTATGAATATGTGTGGTTTTGAATGAAAAAGTACAGAGAATATAACCATCTGGTAATGTGAGGTGTTGTATTTTTCCCCCTCTTTTTGGTCACGCGAAATCTTCATTGCAGACAATAAAAGCTTTCCTGCCAGCTATGATGAAAAATAACCATGGTCATATTGTCAACGTTCTATCAGTTGCTGCACTTGTATCAATTCCTTTTCTGGTGACTTATTGGTAAGTATAAGTATTGTGGGTTTTTTTCTATTGAAATAAATAGTTTGTTTTGGAAGAAAAAAGAGAAAGAAAGAGAAGTTTTTTTAGGAATTGTGTCAATATTAATATGGCTCTTTGCAGAAAATATATGAAAATATTCAGCAAATATTTTTACTACTGGTTCTGTGGGCATGGCTATGTGGGAGTGTCTATGTGACGGGGTTGGCCATGTGACGGGTGGGCGTGGCTTTTTTGTGCAGCACCCCCTGCGCTCCCCTTTTCTTGACTCCTGGGCCTCAGGGAAGCCTCCTGGGTAAAGCAGTAAGACAGCAAGGGGGATCCCAGCACAGCTGATCATCGAAGTAGCTGATCGTCAGGAGGGGTGAAAAAAGAAAGAAATACCAGTTCAACTGAACAGTAGCATTTTTTTTTACTACCAGTTCGTTGGAACCGGGCTGAACCGGTAGAATCCCACCACTGGCTCTGTTGCACCATTTTTGCTTCATGCTAGTTCAGAGAATAGAATTGAGAGGCAAAATATACTGACCTCCCTCTGATGTTCAGGAAATGCTGGCATAATGGCAGACTAATAAAGCAGGATTCTGCAATGGGAGTATTGATATGGGGGATTTAAAAAAATGCTCACTATTGCAAGACAAGATAGAATGTATCCCCATGGTCACATGATTTACATTTGGATGCTTGACAACTGACTCATACTTATGAGAGTCGCAGTATCCTGGGGTCATGTGATCCCCTTTTGCAACCTTCTGACAAGCCAAGTCAATGGGGAAAGCAGATTCACTTAACAACCATGTTACTAATTTAACACCTGTGGTGATTCATTTAACATACATGGCAAGAAAAGTTGTAAAAAGGGGCAAAACTCACTTGACAAATGTCACACTTAGCAACATAAATGTTGGGCTCAATTGTGGTTTTACATTGAGGACTACCTGTAGATTATAAACAGAGGTTAAACCCCACATCTAGCACTGAAGATATTACCTAGCTGGGTAATGAAACATCTTCAAGAAAACAACCAAGTTCAGGGAGCATTGAGGACTCCACGGTTCAACCCAGAGCTACATATATTTTCTTTTATGGCTGAAGTTCCTGAGAGAGGAAAGTCATCAGATCAGAGTTACATAAAACCCTGGTCAATATAATGTTGCTTCCCTTTGTAAGCTTGTTTATAAGTTAGTTCACACATCAAGCCAGACTTCCAGAGCCACTAAACCTCTACTTTGCATGGGGCCAAGTACCTTCTCACCCCAATTACATCCACACTTCCCATCAGGTCCAGCAGGAATGGCAGCAAGTGGCCTTCCCGTAAGTCACAGAGTTTTATTTGGTGGGGGACCCATTCTTTGGATGATCATTTCCCGTGATGTGTGGTTGGTCCCAATTCTGTCAGCCTTCTGGAAAACCCTCAGAATTTTGGGCCTGGGAAGCTCATGAAGGGCCTGTATAGGTTTAATTGCATTCTTGCCTGTCCTTTTATTGTTACAGTTTTTAATTGGTTTTAACTGCATTAATCAAAGAATTAAGATTCTTTTCTCCCTTAATTCTCCTCTCCTGTTTAGCTCAAGCAAGTTTGGTGCTTTAGGGCTTCACAAAGGCTTTACCCAAGAGTTGCTTGCTTTGGGAAAAGATGGGATCAAGACTACCTGCTTGTGCCCATATTTTGTAAGCACTCCGCTTGTAAAAAACGTAGAGTCAAGGTAAGAGACAAGATGCGTCTGGTTAGCATAGAACTGTTTCCCAGTTTTCTCCATTGTTTCAATGGAGATTCTCGATCATGCAGGTCATGGTTGTCCCAAAGCTGCTTTTTCAAGAAGTAATTGGACTTTCTGGTTTTTCTTTTGAAGACGTTTCGCTTCTCATCCGAAGAAGCTTCTTCAGCTCTGACTGGGTGGTGGGGAATGGAAGGATTTATACTCCTTGCAGACAGCTGGTCATTTGCATTCTTTTAGAGAGTTGTTAATGCCACCTGGAGGTTTTATCAGGATCAACGGAGTGATGCAAATGGGTGTGGAGCTTTCTGGGAACTGTTGAGAGACATTAAGACACGTGGACTTCAACTTCAACATGATGGCTGGGGAATTCTGGGAGTTGAAGTCCAGATGTCTTCAAGTTGCCAAGGTTGAGAAACCCTGGTTTAGGTGCACATTGCTAACCATTTGAAACTACAGAATCCGGAGAGCGTATTTTGGAGTCTCTCACAAAATGGCTGCCATGGGAAAGAGTAGCTGGATCAAAACCTCAGTGACCAGAGGAAAGTTGATGAAAACTTTTCTCCCACCATGGCCGGAAGCTTCTTCCCTCCAAAAGAAATAATGTTGGCATGGGCTAAAAATTTTGGGAATGGTATTAATTTGGATAAATGGCAAACTTTATGGGAGAGAAATAAATAATAATAATATTGGCCACATCGTATAAGGAAAACCTATATAAAATGTTTTATAGGTGGTACCTTCCACCAGCAAAATTGCCAAAAATGTATCAAAATATAACACCCAACTGTTGGAAGTGTATTCAGCAATACGGATCATATTATCATACATAATGGAAATATAGAAAAACCCAGGAGTTTTGGCACAGGATACAGAGGTGGCTAGCAAAGTAATAAAAAGATATGATTTGCACTGAGATGGATAAATTAACTTTGGAAATGAAAAATAAAGATGAAACAGGATATTATAAAGTATGGGATAAATTTTATCGATGGGATTCAGAATCAAAATAAAGCAGGGTTGGCAGAACGGATGATTAGAAATAGAAAACATTGTATAAATGTATACATGTATATAAAATATGTATGATAAACAGGATTGTCAGGACAATCACACCATGTCCAATGTTTTTAATACTTTATTCAATAAAACATAAAAGAAAGAAAGAAAACTTTTGTCCCACCATGGCCGGAAGCTTCTTCCCTCCATTTGAAACTTTATTTTTCTGGACAATGTATGCAGATATATGAACCAGATGCTGGATTGCCATTCTCCCTTCCCCTCTTTTTTATTTCCTCTTTCATAATGCTTTCAAGGCCAAAAGTATTCCTATATATAAAAATAAGTCATTGTGGCGGTTGCAAAAGAGGAACTGGTGTTTGTGCACCTTTGGGAGCATGGGTTTGTCACCACCATATTTGAGCAGATAGAATCAGTATTGCTGGTAACTGTAGTCCACAAGACCCAGCAGTCCCTTCTTTGAAAATATAATGACTTAATAGCTCACCATTAATAACATCAACAATTATAATTGCAGAATAATACCTATTCTGAAGCCTGAGGCAGTTGCAAAGAGGCTCATGGATGGGATACTCTGCAATCAAAAGAAGATCGTTATGCCATCGCCAGTTTCGATGTTCTCTTTGGTGGAAATGTATGTATTGCAGGGTGGTTAAGGGCTGAATTTCTGCACTGACAATTATATTTAAAATACATGTTGTTGTAGCATACAAAAAAAGCAAGCAGTGACATCAAGGTCTTGCATTGAAGCAGATTTTGAGGTTTTTATTTAATGTCCCTGTATTATTATTATTTTCCAGAATTCTTCCTGAGCGTGCTTTGGTGGCTTTGCATGAGATTTTGAGTATCAAACTGGATGTGAAGAAACAAGAATGACTCAAAGTATCAAATCTTCAGAAGCTTTCCAAATTTTAGATCATGTGCAATCATGTTTCTAATATCATGTTTTCTTACTTCTTATGTAAACTGCAAAAGGAATTCCAAGCACTATTCTTCACAAATCAATATTAAGATATCTTTTTCAAGTACTGGTATAACACTCTACTGATTTTATTTCTTCCTGACATATAAAGATGACATCAACATAACTTCAGACCTATTGATCTTAAAGTATTTTCTTAAACAAAACTAAAAATCTCCAAGTTCTGTGTGACCTTATTTCATTTTTGCTTTACTTATTTGACTTCATGAGTGTTTAAGGAAATTAATTGGCACAATATCAGAGGTGGTATT